GCATATGCATTGCTAAAAACTACCTTCACAGTGTTTAGGACCTAGGTCTATTCTTACAATATTCTTCTCCTGGATATTTATTTGACTCAGTGACTGCTTTATAGGAGTTGAGCTGAACTTTCTTCAGTGATTTAGGTTTACGGTGAATGTCTTTAAGGGGAATGATATTAACAGAAGAACAGGGATGAAGAAGGGAAACATTTGCTGAGCAGTTATTATGTACCTACATTCTTCCTTCATCCTCACAACTGACCTCTAATTTTTTCACATTGTAGATGCAATTACATCAGAGCACTTCGTGTAACTCTAGGATCCAGGCTTCTTCCCAACCCCAAAGCCCATTTTTCTTTTCACAAAACCAGTGTCTGTGTTAACATGTCATGTTGGTTTTACAAGCAAAAGGTTCCTATTGGATAAATGGGCAAAAATATCTGTTCCTTTCTTTCTGCCACTGGTGCAAACTTCCTGTATTACAGGCAACATCTTACTCCTCTGTCTCGGATGCCTTCTTTAAAATACGGACTACGTGATAAACAGTATAACCTGTAGTTTTTCAATAACTACTGACAGGATCAGCAGCCTATCTGTGTGAAGGACTCCTATAACGAGACTAGCTTTATAGTAGTTACTTCTCACGGACTGTACCCCAAAACCACCACCTGAAAAGAACACAAGAAGGAGTTGCAGGAGTTCTAGTTTACCTGTTCTGGCTCAAGGGCTATTTTAGTTTTAAACTTCTGGAAAATTTTATCTTCCTTGGATTCAAGTTTTGCCATGGAATCCAATTCTTCCTCAGGTGCTTCACCTGAAAAATATCAACACAACCGTTACAGCAATAGGACTAGTCCCCATGACTTGACATTTCCTACATGCTGAGGGCAGGAAATTTCAAACAACCAACTTAATGTTAAATCAGATAGTGAAAGCCAGATGTTCCCACAGGCTTTCCCTATTTTAATTCATTATAGTGTTTCAAGACCATCTGATTTTCCAGGTACCCCACTTTACTGGACAGGTTCCTAGTGAGTGCTTCTCTTTAAATCTTCAAATGAAAAGAATAGACCCAAGTCCTGGGTTTAAGACTTGTGCCCAGTAGATGACAGGACACCCAACAAATGCTGCACCTTTTATTTTCACTACTGCCCTTAAGCTGCCTGGAACTGCCCTGGTTCTTCATGTCTCACACATGTCTTTTCCCAGCTGGTACACTCATTCAGCCATCACTCACTCACTGTGGACCTACCAGCTTGTTCTCTGCACACTCCTCTCCTGGAATCCCAGCTGTCTGAACCCCTGCTGTTCGTAACAGGATTTAGTCTGTGTTACATGTACCACAGTATATTTTTGATATCACCTGAGTATGAACTATAAACCAGTAAGCTGATACTGTAAAGTCTGATTTACACTCTAAAACCCAATTTCGTGGTAGTTAAGAGTTCAAATTCTGGAGTCAACAACATGGGAGCTCAAACTGCAGTTCTAAAACTTTACCAACTTTGGTTACATGACCAAACAAGTTACCCAGAAAACCTCAAATTCCTCATTTCAAAATGAGGTACAGTTTCTAACTCACTGTACTGCCTTCAGGATTTCAATGAGATCATGCACACATAGCCCTTGATGCAGAATAAGTGCTGGATAAATGCTGGCTACTAATCCTTCGCTTAGCTTTCTGGCAGGCCTAGGCACTACATTAGCGTACCATCATCTAGATAACCTGTAAAATTGGGTATCTGAAATTAGCTGATGAAACATTTAAAGGGCCCCTGTCACCCGCCAAACACTATGCTAAGGGTCTCACATATTCTATATTGATCTGAGAAACAGATCTTGGATCTAGATGAACTTACCAAGTTTCCAGCATCCTGTGGAGGAGCCCTACCCAAATGACCACTTGGATACTTACCCTGACATGTCTTCATCAGAACCAGAATCTATCTGATATATATGCCACGGAGGAGAGGTACAGGAAGGATACTGTCAAATGACAGTGTTTGAAAATCATAGGCTACAGACTCCAAAGTGAGTTGACTTCCTGTCAGTACCTACCTCTCTTTTTGACATACTGAGCCTTCTCTTTCCAGCACTATATTTAATCACTTAATGAATAAAGTTTTAAAAGTGACTCCTTACCCATGCTCCCTGTAATTTCTGATTCATTTTCTTTTTCAACAACTTCAGATGTAATTTCATCTTCTGTTTCTATTACAATTTCAAATTCTGGAAAAAGGAAGCTGTGGTCTGGAATTGTTCTGTCCAAATAATCTGAAACAAGAAAAGGTAACTAGCATCATTACTAATCCTTTAGGTTTAAAGAGGATCCAATAATTTCCCATTTCTAAGCTATATTCTATGCAGTAACCCTAGTAAATTAATACACGTGGTTCCAGCAATTTAGGTCATAAATTAAACATCAAAATTAAAGCAAGTCTGGGGCATATCTGAGCAGGCAAGACCTCACAGCTCCTCTTTGATAGAGGTGTTCATGTTACCAGTTACTAAAATTTTGAGAAGTACAATACCTTCTCTAATCTTAACTTTTATCCTCAAAGCAAAAAACTTGGGTTGACAGATGCTTTGAAACTGAGCTAAGACTTAAAAAGAGTTGACTCACCTGATTGTGTACAAGCCTGCTTATGCCCAAATCTCCAGTCTAGAATCTGATGCTCCTTACTGCAGTAATGTGCCTTGTGACATCTGGAGCATGTTTTGGGGCCTAAACAGCCACAGACCCTGCAGAGATGAGCACCAGAC